CAGGTTTTGGGCAGTTTGGGTTAATAATCAACATCACACAACAACGCAATGGCAAAATCATTGAACATGAACAAAATAGTGCAGGTTAGTCTCATGCATTTCTGGCTCTATCAAAACTCAAACAAACCAGGTGTTAAAATCAGGCAGATCTGAGGGGGCTAGGGTTAGCAGTGAAACAAAGCATGAGACGGTGCTAATCACAGACTAAAAGCAGTGCTTGAACTGTTAGGCTGCTGTGATAGTTCTCAAGGAATTGGTGAGAGCAAGGGGAAACACATTCTGCCTCGTCTGTGTGCAGACCAATGTTTGAAGCATTCATGCATTCTCATATCAGGTATTCTCAACATCAGTTGGCAAACCTCAGTTCTTAGCAAAAAAGACCAGAGCAGTTGATTTTGTGACAGTCGTAACAATAAACGTAGCTGCAGATTAAATAGCTACTTGTTATATTACTGCTATATATTCAACAACTTCTGGGATGTACAAATAACTAGTTATCCTAAAACTGGAACTTCAATCAGGGGATTAAAGAAAGCTTACAGTTTTTTTTTCAATGTAGTCAACAGCATGTACTGTTCCCACCAAAGATCTACTTTATTTCTGCAACACAGTTGCAACAAAATGATTTTTTTTCAACACCAAACAGCTCTACCAGAACTTTTCAGGACAGCGATTAACCTTTACGTGATTCCCTAGACCAGAAAGTTGGTTTACAGAAGAAATGCCGACTGCAAATTCAAACTTCCGTGGAAAGCAAGCTTCCTCGGTCTCATTAAATACTGTCAAGCAAATTTTGAGGGCCTTGCAGCTCTATGTGATAAAAACATGGAATGTTCACAGAAGCTTATGCAGGAAACACACAGATGATCAGGTGGACCTTACAAAACACACACAAGTTAAACTGGAATGAGAGACACAAACCCAACGGTGCGGTTACACAACACTGAGACTGCATGCCTAAGGGTATTGCCTGGGGGTCGATGCGTACAACTGGGCGGCGCTTGCCTGTTGGAGGTGGGGGCTTGGTCTTGCTGGGACCCCTCTTGATGGCCGGACTTCACCTGGACCCAAATGAGGTCAGAGGACAAAGAAGGGAAAGGGCAAGGTTTTAAAGAGGAGGGAGAAGGCATAAGATGATGATGAAATAAAAGTGAGGTGAGAAAGGATTTTAAAGGAAAGGAACACTCAACTTCAAAGTTGCAAATTTTAAACTTAATAAGACATCTACAGGTTTCTCTTTATTTTGCCCATGAAACTTTTTTAAAATTACATACAAGAAAATCTGTTTTCTTACAATCAAATATTCAAACTCATGATCTTTTTAGCAAGTATGTTTTAAGGTTTTGCGGATGAAAGCTAAATTGTTTCAAAATGGACACACATACAATTTATGCATGTGAAATACCCTACTGACACACATTTTGCAGGCAACCTATTAAGTTACCAAAAATATAATCTACATTTACACTTAACAAATGAAATGTACTTGGTTCGTACTTGTAAATACCGTACAAGATCACATCCAATATAACAATCTATATTATGCTTGTCCCAAAAGACTCTGACAAATATTTACAAACTCTGAACAATTTTCTATAAAGTAAACACCACCTAATCTCACCTGATCCTCATAGCAACGCATTTCAATCTCATAGGCCGTTTCTGACATCTCTCCAGGAGGCCCCTTGGTCAACTTTCTCTCAAGCTCCTGGAGTTGTGTCTTCTTCTTCTGCTGCTTGGCGACCATGGTCTTCACATCCTGCCGGTCCTCCTTGCTGTTCTCTGCTTTGCCGCGGCTGAACTCCCGCGCCACATCCCTGAAGCGGGCCGGTGAGTGCCGCGGGTGGTCATAGTCGGGCTGGGGGCCGGATGCCCGCCGACTGCGTGGCCGATCCTTGTAGGCGGCGATGGTGTAGTTCTGCATGAGCTTCTCCAGCTCCGGGACTGCCAGGTGCTTGCTGTACTTCTGCCCCGAGGCTTCCTCCTCCTCTTCCTCATCCCACCTCTTTCTCTCGTAGGGGTGATGGCGGTGGGAAGCTCGGGACTCCTTCAAGCTGCTCTCTGCTTTCAGGGAGGTACCCAGAGTTGGCTCATCTGTGGTGCTGTCACATTTTGACACTTCCACAACTGGTGTTTCCGTCACTGCTGAGTCCTTGTCAATCAAAACTGATTTAGTATCATGTGTGATAACCTCGGACTCCAAGCCAGAATCTCCAGAAGGGACTGCATCTTTGGCAGCACTTCTGCCAGGGTTTACTGACTCAATTCCTAGTGTTCCAATTGTACCATCTCTCACGGGATCAACTTGAGGCAATGTTTTTGACTCTGATGGTGGGTCAGCTTTGGACTTTGCCCTGTCAGTAGATGTCAGGCTTGCTAACTGAACTTCCTCCTCATATGACAATTTGTTCAAGGACTCAGCATTTTCTTCCACAGTGGAAGCAGACTGTAGATTTCCATCCTTACTTTCTTTCTGTGCAAAGGAGGTAGGGCCTTCACTTACTGGTGGTTGTAAATCTGGAGTGGGTTCTGAAGGACTCTTTTGATCTGTATTGGGAACGTTTAGAAGGCAGGATATCAAAGTGAAGTTGGACTTGGGTCTGGCTATTTCACTTTATTTAAATTTCACTATAAAGCTTTTCAAAACTTCCCCATTTTCTCCCCAAAAAGTTACCACAAAAAGTTAGATTTATGTAAGTTTGTTTAATACACAAATGCAAGTAGAGTAACATTAATAGACTCATTTCAATACAGTGGAATGCCGCTATAACAAACAAGACGGGGTCCACGCTACATGTTTGGTATAGCAGTCATTTGGTATAGCGAATTTAACTGCCGAACGTTTCGTTGCCATGTTGAAAAGCGCCCTCTCTTGTCTAACCGAAGTGCACCCTCTTGTGATACCTTGGCTCGCTGTTTTTGAGATGTTTTGCTGTTGCATTCAAGTTTAAGGTTTCTAGAAATGTATCTGTTAATTATTTTTGTTTTTTAATTAAACTTGAGCCAAAAAATTGATTTCAAGTTCATCCTAAAAGTCGTGAAACCAACGCTCAGGATCCATCTCTGATGCATGCTGTGGCGAATCCCAGTTGATTTGTGTATCAGCGGTGCCCTCTTTAGACAATTGATAGTGCAATGCCACCGTGCGCATACGTGCGGTTTTCTTCCACACCCGATCATATGGAGTCACAAAACCAGTGTCTATTCAATACCATTGACAACTAGTGGCTTTCCTTTCTAATCCTTGGGCAAATACTGGCCACTTTTCACTTTCCAACATAAAAAACACCGACTGTTTTATCATGCTGACATTCAGGAATTACAAACGGCAACTGAATAGTGTTCGGTAGGTTCTGTGCACAAATTAGTGGGAGCAAAGGACAATGTTTGGTACAGCCGAATGTTCGCTATAGCGGTGTTCGGTATAGCAGCGTTCCACTGTAGTTGGAAGTACTTAAAATACTGAATGGTTCGCACAAGGTGATCTTGATTAACATTTACGCCTCTTTGGCAAATGTTTCTGCAAGGAAACGCTTAACCCCTTCACGCTGGGATTCTTTTGACCATGACTGCTGGGCTGCAGTATGTCAAATATGCAAAGCTCTGTCCAGCAGCGGGCCCACATTGAAACCGCAGGTGCATGATGAATAGAATGTATGTGTGGTATGCACTAATCCTCACACAAAGTGGCAGCTATGGATGGCTCCTGGTATGAAGGGGTTAAACAGCTAAGAAACAATAGGCCTTTTGTTGACCTCAATAGATGAATGTACACCATATGCAGCAAGATATGAGACGGAGAGAACCCCCCCTGCTTTGTGTTGGTCATTGTCTCGCAGGAATCTGGGAAATTCCTTTCAGACATCTTGGGGGGATGTGTTAAGTAACAATAGTCTGGAATGTGTAAAGGGATTGGACATGTTGGGGGGGTACCCCCTCAGTCTCATTTCTTGCTGGGTATAATGTACACACAAGTTACAAGGCTTAGCCTGTGCCTGAATGAACACTTGCAACTACATGTAGATGTACATACGTATGAATATGAGAAACCAGACGCTAGCAGCATCCATAGGAATGTGTGTTATCTCCAGCTGAAGCCACATAATACATGTGTGTACACAAGCCAAGTACAGGTAAGATATGCTTCCATTTTCAGAGCGATGACTACATAAGGTGGGATAAACCTTCCATGTGGATGAAAGCGTCGGCACAAAGCCCTTAAGTTAGTGGTTTCAAACACACAGAGTTTAATGAAAAATGTCATAAAACCTCAGGAGAAAGTATCAATAATGCACACAAGAATGATGGTTTGAAAACTAGAATTGCGACTGAGCTACATGTACATCTAACTACACAAAAAAAATATTACAAATTGTTTCCAAAGATCCTGGCCAGTGCAGTGGCCACACACGTGTACATGAAAATTTGGCTTAATGAATTGATGAGCCAAGCTACCGGTAATATTAGCCAAGTACCAGCCAGTGGCACGTTAAGCGGCATGACTTGTTGGCTTGTGCCCTGCTAGCGCTCAGCAGATGACAAGGCTAACGTGAAGGTTTCCAACAGCTACTGGTCAAAGCAATGTACACGTACATGTACATGTACTTCTGATTCTGGGCAAACATTAACACACAGACTACAAATTCTTCAGTACTCGAATACTTCAGACTGATATCCAAAGAATTTTCTTTCAGTGGACGGGAGGCTAAATGACCGGGCAGAGGTTTGGTCAGGGAGTACAGCCAGTTTGTTGGGTGAGATCAAAATGGGCTGACTATTTTACACAGGTTCAAAGTCATGAGACGACCACTTCAAACTTGTCTTGAACTACACACAGGTTCACCCTGTCAAACCCAGATGCACAAATCCAACAAGTTAAATTTACAGCAATGTGAAGTAAGCCTCAACAAAAATTGACAGAGGCCTGCAATAAATTCATCCAACAAACATATTTTGCATTCTGTTGTTCTTAATTCTTGCCAACTTATTAACAAAAGTAAAACTTTATTTTGGAAGATAGCAAAATGGTCGGGGGTTATGCTACAGGTTGCTTCCTACTTCACATTAATGCAAACAGCAGCAAGTTATGGAGTGGCATTGTGGTTGAAATAAAAATCTAACTGCAAAAAGCTACAGCTATTAAAAAAGCAGCCTTTGTCAGCGTTCATGAGATACACACACTGACGCTGCTATGTCTTTCAGTCAGGCAGAATAAGCCTTTTGCAAGTTAAATTTGAATAAAGTGTGGTACACTGAGTTCGTTAAATTCACATAAACATATATGTATCAATTTGCATTCTCCATACTAAAGACACTGTCGCTATACGTCATGATTCAGCGCACGCTTTTGCCTAGTTGCATAAGAGACACCTTGTGCCGACTACCAATACACAGTGACAGAAAGGAACCAGTTCCTTCCAGAGATGGTGGTCACTATGCAAAAGCTAGCCCCGAAGCACAAGGTATCTATAGCAACAGTGTCTTTAGTCTGGGAAATTCAAATTATATTTATTGCAATCAGACGACTCAGTGTAGCAGATTTTATTTAAATTTAAACTTGCAAAAGGCTTTATTTCTGCATACTCCCCAAATCAGCAATTTAAGATTGATACTTGACGAGCCTGTAGCAGACACCAGTATGCACTTGAATGCAATAGCATTTTTTCAAGGTACCACAGGTTATTTACATGCATGTGATACGAGGGAATTTGAAAAAGAATGCGCTGGAGAAAATACACAGAAGGAGAGCAGCACTGGAGAGAAGGAAGAAAACTGATGACTGGATAAACTGAAAGATAGCAATGACAAGGAAAAACTCACCTGTTACACTATCTTCCTCGAGGTCAAAGTTGACGCAAACTCCTTCCTCACTTTCCAGATCACCGAAGAAGCATGCCCCATCATTGATCACAAGACCGTCCCTGATGCCTGGCTTGCCTGTACTGTTCTGTTCTTTGGTATCCTCAAGCTTCACGTTGCTGTCCAGATCAGTGGTTCTGACGGGTTCTGTCAAGTCAGTTGAAGGACTTCCTGAGAGGGCTTTTTGGCCTTCCTGTGAGTCCTCCGTCTTGTGGCTAACAACGCTGGGCTCTTTGATGGGACTGGCTGGCTCATCCCTCGAGTTTTCTCCATTTGAAACAACAATGACAGTCTCTTCGGGGGCAACAAGCTCCTTATCTTCTGTGTTACTTGTCTCCGTGTTTGGATCAACAACGTTTTGGCCCAAAGTTGGGCTAGAGTCTTCTTTGGCATCCGAGAAGCCTTCTGGCTTTTGGCTGGATTTGGACTCTCCATCCGAGTTAAATGTAACAGTCTGTTGGTAATCTTCAGTCACCTGCATCCAAATTCAAAGAAAGTAGCTGCAAGTGATAGATTTTCATCTCTGAAAGTAATCCATGCTGCAAACTTCTGTTAACCACAACACTGAAACATGTAACTATCTTTCAAACATGCAGGTACAAAATACGAAACCAAGACATACCGGTAAATTACAATTACAAAACTACACCTGTGGTTCTACCCAGGAGAAAAAGATCAGAAAAAGTATTAGAAACAGAGAAATGATTCAATGACTAGCATTACACAAAATGAAGCCAAGCAAATGACTACCAGTCTTGGGGGGGGGGTTATCCCTGTTCTGGGACTGACCTGCCTGATAGTTTGATCTTCTGCTGTCTGTTTGGCAAAGACCTTCCTTATGGCTGCCGCAGCATTCTGACTGAAGAATCTCTCCTCCTCAGTCTCCTTGGTGTTGTCAAATCTGAGTAGAGTAAGTATAAAGAGGGTTGGGGGATGAGAAGAAAGTTCGATCTCAGAGAGAGAGAGGTTGTAGCAAATGACTATGAAACACTGTGGCTCTCCCAAATGGCCGTGATAATGTGAACCTTGCACTTTTGTGTACACGTACAGTGTGTTAAAATGCACCAAAACCTGAATTACCATACCACTATGAATCAAACTGTTTGGGGCTGACATCTTGCAATATCCTCCAAATCACACTCCTGATTTGAGAGTGCAATCTTAGACCTGCAGTAAATACTTCACTAGAAAAAACAAGTTGTTGATCGTTTACCCTTTATCAATAACAGCACAAATTACCCAACAAATTAAATTAAATTGGAAGAGTCACCTTTGCATTCATAAAAGATAATAGAGTGGGAAACAGTAAATTAAGGAAGATCAATAACTTCAAGCTTCAAAGATATTTTGGCGACTCAAGCTGTGTGACCCATTGAGCAAAATGGCTCCAAAGCACGATTGGATGGTGTGATCATTTTCAGACGTGATGGATCTTACCTGGCTCCTCTGTGTAGTGTATCACTGATGCAGTGCTGAAGGCTGGTACCAGACCATTCTTCTTCCTTCAGCCCACCCTCTAGGAATTTCCGGGTGAGCACCACCATGTACAGAGTCCTCCCGCTGCCATCCTGCCCCGTCGCAAACAATCCTTTCTCCTTCCCCCCTGAGAGCTGCATCTCTTTGGAGCAAACTTGGTAAGACGACTTGTCACTCGGACAATCAGGAATGCCAGTTACGCCCTCCGTCAACCCGGCAATGCCAGTCGACAGGCTGACTGTCCCTTCAAGGCTGTCCTGAGAACTACCTTTAGCTGAGCCGATACTGAGACCTCCTTGGTTGTCCACAGTCCTTTCTGCAGACAACTTAGTCTGGTTGGAAAAGGCTGAGGCACCTTCTACTCTCTCTGGAGATGGCATTTTCTTCTTTGGTATGCGGCCAAGACCCTTGAGGTCCACAGAATTGATGAATGGGAGTTTCTTCGGTTTGTCAGAAATACTTCCTGGAACAACATGAGCAAATGAGTGGAGATTTAGGGGAAAAAAAGCAGAAATCGTGTTGGGAATATGTGAATTGACTGTAAAAGACAGAAACTCATTAGTCTTCGATCTATAAGTTTGAAATTGAACTTCCTAACCATGAAATCTATTCATAGTTAAACAAAAAGAGTGACTTGATTTAATACTCTTTAGCACAGATTCATTAGCAATAAGCTAGTGTACACACCACCACTGGAGTTCCTCTTCCTGGCAAACTGTGATTTAAGTCGCTCTTTCTCCTTGTTCAGTCTCCTGATCTCGTTATCTATCTCTTCGATGGTTCTCTCCTTGCTCAGTTTCCCCCGTTTCAGAGATGCCGAACCACCTCCGCCTTTCCTGGTGCGGTCAGTCTTCTCGTGCTCGCTGTCCAGCAGCTTCTTATTCAGGTAGCTCTTCATGTCCGTGGCGCTGGTAATGCGGTCCTTGGTGTGGACCACCCCACCGTTCAGGAAGGCCTTCATCTCTGAGGCTCCTCGAATGGGCGAGCTTAGGCCGTCTGCCTGGGGATCAAAGTTGGGTATGACCTTCCTGGCTAGATTCAAATCCAGTGACAGGCTCTCTTTGTTGCACCTCTCCTCCGTGATGGGCTTTTCTTCTGTTCCCAGTTTGCTGTCTTGCTCACTCTTTTCTCCAAACTCTTTGCTGTGAGATCTTTTGAGCTTTTTGGAGGCTCTCCCACTCAGGCTGTAATGGTCCATGGATGCAAGTGCGTCACCAAATGGATTAGAAGGTGGTTTCACTTGACCTTTTTCAGATAGTCTACTTCCTCCTCCTGATTCATCGTTCTGTGACACTTCCCCACTTTCATCAGCCTCGCCTTGTCCGGGCTTCAAGGCACTTTGATGTCCAACTAACCCTGGTGCATCATCAGAGGGCTTGCCCGAGGACAGCATACTCAAAGGGATGGAAACTGGAAAAGTGGGCCCGGATTTAGCAATTCCTTCTCCGGTAGTATTCTCTGTGGAGGGGCTGATCAAGACCTTCTCGATGACAGCCTTCAGAGTCTGTACTGACACCTCAGGATTGTTCTGTGTGGGCTTAACAGGGAGCTTGGCAATCTGTTGAACAACCTCCATGACTTTGGTGGAAAGGGCTGGGCTCACTGATGATCCCGGTAAGTCCTTGGACGTGTCAGTTAGTAGAGGTGAACTCTGAGGGGCGCATGACTCGACAGCTTTCACCTCAGGAGAGGAGAATACATCCAGCTTTTCTGTCACTTCATCTTCTCCCACAGGGCGATCCCCTGAATGCTGCTCCCTTCTAGTATCCTCCAGCCCCTCCATCTGGACCCTTCCATCCTCTTCTTGGTTTAGACGGCTTCTTTCCTGGCGCAGAGCCTGCAGGAAGTCCTGCAGCTTCGTCAGCTTGGCATTGTAGCACTCTTCCAGGGCTGGGCCCCCAGCTGAGATCTCCTTGTGTCGCCTCAGGATCCTCATCTCCTCCTGGAGTCTGGTGATCTCTGCCTGCTGGTCCAGGATGCTGCCCAGCGGCAGCTTGCTGGACTGGCGGGACACTTGGGGTGGTTCCCGCTGGACCCCTACATTCCAAAAGGTACAATAGGCTTTATACATGTATCAGACTGTAAGGTGATATACATTTCATAGTACACCAATTATAAACCAGTCCCAACAGTTAACAAATACAATCAAGTCAGTCCAAAGTGCAAGGGTGCATAAGGGACCTCAGAGATCATCTTTGTGACAATAAAACCAGATTAGATGTACAAAGTCTGCACTTAACGTAAAGCCTGAACGGCTTACTAGCTCATTACATTTTTGAGGGAATAACACACCACAAAAGAACCAGGGAAATCATGCAAGAGAGGTAACTGATATCTAGCTCCACCACGAAAGTAATATCACATATCTATAGTTCTTAGTGACTTCAGTGAACACTGAATTCAAGTGGCTATTTTTGATCTGACGTTAGAATTTTCACACCTGGAAAGGAGCTTGAATCCTTTCCTTACCTACTGCAGCAGTGCCTGGACTTCCGCTACTGGTAGGTCCAAGCCAAGTGTCTCTAGCAAGCAGATCTGTGCTGGAGCTCTTCTGGTCACCTCTGCTAGGCTCCAAGTGCTGGCTGTACATAGGGTGGACGTTCTCCTCGTGAACAGCTTCCATGATGCTGGGGGACTGGGGATGGCCCTGTGGGTTGTAGACAGGATGGGGCTGCTTCTTGGATACCCCGTCGCTAGATGCAGGTGCTGCTAAGGTCTCCGAGATATTGTACATTGGGTGCAGGGACCCTTCGGGGACAGGGTCTGCTTGGATGTTCAAAGTTGAAGCAGGACTGCTGTACATGGGATGGACATTGGGGACCTCTGAGGGTAAGGGGCTCCTGTTGACAAATCCTGGCTGGAATGGATGGTTGCTCCCCTGGTTGTCCGTCACCTGCATCTTCTGCGACCTGTAAGTCGAAAGCAGGTCCTTCTTTGAGAGCAGACCGTGTTGGTAGTCGATAACCTTGCTCTTCACCGCAACAGTGCTTGTGCGGTCCACTGACAGGGGCGTCAGGGCGTCTGACCCGCCCTGAGCCGGTGAGTGGATGCTGCTGGCCTCAGGGCTGCGGATGTCCGTCTGGTGTTTGAGGTCGTGGCTCTGTCTGGTGAACATGGAGAGCAGGCCGATGCGCAGCATCAGCTGCTTGTTGTCGCTTCCCTCCAAGAGCTGGTTGTCAGCAATAGGAGTTTGAACTTTGGTGCCTGAAGGAATGTAAATGCCTTTCTCTGTAAAAGAACAGAAGAGGCGGGATTTTGTGCATCCGAGGTAAATTGAAGTGGACTTCACGGTTTTACAATGTTTATCCTAAAATGGGCTGGATTCTGCCCCTTGACAATGTTTCCCGATATTGTTAGACCGCATTTTTTTCACCACCGAGCCTTCATTTTAACTGATACTTTAACTGCACACTTTATGTGCTTGTCAAATCGTTAAAAAATCAGTCATGGGACAGCTGACTTCTAAGGATCCCCCAGCTTTCAGTTGGCCCAAAACAACCTGGCTCTTTAACAGGGTTAACAGGATTTTGTGGCATGCCTCCACACAAAACATTTTGTTGCCCCTTATTTAATGTTGCATTCTTCCCTTTGCATAATCGTATACATGTACTTGTGTCAGGCTTTATTACTTCTCGTTCCTTCAACGCTTGTGGTGACAAATCAAGACAATATCTGTTTCGTCACATCTGCTTGCAATGGCATGCAGTTTAAACTGAACCAACCAAACCCTTTCGAATACTCACCTGCGATGTGGCCTATCATGGGGCTCCGGGCCGTGAAGAGCACATGCAGCGTCTCTGGGTAGTCCCCCCGGGTCACACCAAGGTCATGGGACAGAGTGGACGTCGGGAAGACAAACATTGTCACATTGCCCTCAAGTCGGCACTTCAGAACCTGTCAGGGGTTGACAGTGAGACATTTATTCGCAGGGGAAATTAGTTTTCATCATGTTCCATGAATGCAATGTAATGTGCAATGTAACCTGTTAAAGGGGTGGTGCCAGACTTCGTGTTCCATGCCTCACTTTCAGGTTTTTGTTAAATGTGGCTAAAACATCTAGACATAATTGATCACATATTCCAAATTATGCACGGGTATCAATGACATTTATTTGTAATGACATTTAATTCACTTCTTTCAAATTCACTCTAGGGTTCCCAAAATAAAAACTTAACTTTGCCTCCAATTCAGTATGGCCAATTTGTGAATAAGCTGAATTGAATCTCTTTCAAAATAAGATATTGGTCATTAAAATCACCTGGCCCTAACGGCCTTAACCTGCTGTTAGGCTTCCTGTACCCTCTATAATTATATGACATGATGCACAGTGAAATTCTTTGTATATCAACTTTTCATGGGCCTTCCATCCCTTATAAAGCAACACCGAATGGAAAATAATCCAAATCTTCCTGTTTTCCTGCATCAAATGACATACGATACTCCACAAACACTCCATACAGGCCAAGTTTGGATTTTGGAAACGTTTGCCTGATCTCGAAAGGGATCTAGTGTAAATGTCTTGGGACAAATTCCTCATGAACATGTGGGGGATTTGTGGCCGCTTGCTTCCTTTTTAAAATTTTCCTAGCAAAGGCTGAAAACTCAAAAGCATTTCAGACAACTTTAGCCTGGTTCGAAAAAAAAAAAAGGTTACATAAACCACATCTTATCAATTTAAATATAGATTCTTCTGGATACAAACTCCTGAAATCTAATCACTTGCGTCAAAGTCCACTACTCACTGCTTGATTGAGCAGCATGAACTGCAACAGCTGTTGGTATCTCTGGGTGGATTCCTGGTTGTGTTGTAACTCACAGTAAACCACGTATTTGTTCCTGCGGCACACTGTCCAAAACGACGGATTATGTTAGCGCATGCTGTGTCTTGGAGCTACCCAAAACAGCCGCACAGTTAAAACTGGTGGGCATATGGGCCGTTACTTCACACCATGAATAGTAATTAGTATACAAACTGCCATGCTCAGTATGCTCTTACCATTGATGGCATACATATGTATGAGCAATGGTGTGCTTTGAAATGTGGCCCTGATGTGAACAAGTCAGATAAAAAGCCAAGTGACTGAACAAGATCTGGATCCCAAAGTTTGGGTCTGGGCAATCAATTCTAAATATGGCATTAGATTAACAACTGCTGTGTTCATGGCAGTTAAAATGAATCAGGGAATATCAAGAGACCTGTACATATATATGTTAACCGGGAAAAAGTATTTGTGTGAACGTACCATGAATTTGTCCCAAAGAATTGTTCCTAGAAAGTGTCAAGGAGCAAACTCAAATACAGTCAATAAACAACTTCCGGAGTTGTGACTGTCAAAGATAACAGGCTGCCTACCTTCTCGGATGTTGGAGGTGAGCGGTATCCCACTGGCAAAAATACCAGATGGGAAATAGGCGTGCATCTTGGCAAATGAAATCTTGGTCTTAAAGTTTATCACTGCTGGGCTGCAAGAGGACAGCACAGAGACGAGGAACGAAGATGAACGTGGTCTGTAAATGGCCTGTCTGTAAATGGTCTGCAAATCAACGATCGTCCCCTTTACTTAAAGGGGTGAGGGTCTGGGCACTCCAAGTCCCACTAATTTCTTCCAACAGAAAAAAATCCAGAAGATAAGGACACACAGGCCTGATCATAGGCCTGTATCTCTGAGTGGGAGCTGTTCATCTCTCCCACTTGTATTTGTTCAGCCCATCAATTAAGACGTCTACAGAAAATTTAGTTGTTCATGTCGTTTTGTTTCGACCTGGCTACAGCAAGCTCTAACAACAGTGTGCAAATTGATGACATGCCATCCCTGTCAATTCCAGGCTTTTAATTTCAGGTTGTGCCTGAAATTAGAAGCCTTTATAAGATCATTCATAATAGAACCCAAGATGGAAAAACTAGTAGCTAAAGGTTAACCAAATAAATCCAAACTTACAGGATCTGGGGAAGAACAGGAGAGGTGAAGGAAATCATACAGGCCGAGCAGAGAGGCTCGGACTTGGCACAGAGCATCCCTTTCCACACCAAGAAGTGATTCTTTCTCAGGTTCTCAATTTGAGAAACTGGGAAGAGAAAAAACGAAACGAGCAAAACAAAATTTATTTATCAATAGATCAAGGCTCCTTGTATCGTAAAAATTATTTTGACAGCAGATTTTAACAACTGCACAAAAATCGACTCAATTACTTCAGTGCTTATTTGTCTGAAACTTTTGATGTCCTGTGTACGAACCATAGAATCCAAGACACTTAGAAACAGACTGCTCACGTGAGTACTAAAAGGAAACAAAACTAAAACACGTGTAACAAAAATACCAAAAGAAACCATAAAAATAATAAAATGGATTACTGACACTGGAAACAAAGAACAACCAGCAGGGTAATAGATGCTATCAAAACTGGAATATGTAAGCTCACTGGTCTTGCTTGTCAACAAATGGTCCACACTAGTCTCAACACGGGCACATTCTTGAGGGAGGGGAGAAGTTAGAGGGATTTGGGTACTAGACATGCCCTGTGTCTGATGAACTGCTGTCCTCTGAATACATCTGATAACATTCCACACAATTTCCACCATTAACGAGCAAAGTGGTGAGTCTCCTTTAATAGACACGAGCTTCTGTTTTTACACAACTGACCACTAATCTGTTTTCGTTGTGGGAGGGGTGGCACACTGGGGCAAGCTGAGATATGAAGAGTTTAGATTGAAAAAAAAACAGAAAAAAGATAACTCCATTTTCCATTTTGGGCGAATATCAGCTTGCACAGACACAAGGCCTGTCACTTTTGGCACAAAAAGGTTTTATCATTTCATTATTCAACACTTCAGTAAGTATTGATTCAAAGAGAATTGACATTGTTCAGTTAAATATTGATTTATTGGATGGATAGTTTTCCTTGATTTTGTCAAACATCTATGTAGGTGTTTACTGCCTTCTACACATATCTGCATTACATCATTGGTGTCCTAGTAAAAAAGAACGGTGCAGGTTTTCACCAGGAATCAACAGGTACATGTACTCCCAGCTACACACTAAACACAGTGGGGCATGTAGATAATGAATATTGTGCTATACTGACAGTACATTACAAAACCAATCCATCTGTCTAAATATTTAGTCTACAGAACTTGTGCATATGTTTATGCTTGCATTTCATAACGATGCTATGGCTTTTGGTAGAACTTTATGGTAGGCTTCAACTACATTTGTGACTGGCGGAAGCAGTCCATTAAAATGAGTCCACAATTCCACTTTGGAAAGACCAAATGAGGATCTTTCTATAAATGGCATTTGCAACCCAGATCCTGTCCCTGAACACTGCTAGTATCACTCCTGGACATCTGTCCTTCAAAATTTTCATGGGCGCGAGTAAAAATAAAAACTGGTCAGGGGTACAGATGAAACAGCCTCAGCATGTGAATCCCCTGAAAGGATACAACCAATGCTTTTGTACATATATGCCAATTTAAAAGTGGAATGATGCCACATGTATGTCTGGGCAATATTAACAAAACAGACACCAGCCACATGAAGAGAAAAGCATTTCCAAATGAAGTCACTCCATTCCAAAATGGTCGTGTGGGGGTACCAGCTCAGTAGGGTCTAGTTAGTCAGTTCACTGTAGTCCTGTTTCAAAGATGGATTTGCGCCGGGGAGGTGTAAATTAATTTGGATTTTGCCCTGCCCGATGTGTATTCTAACACTGTATTCTCAGTGTATGCCCCCGAAGGCTTGCGAAAAAATACAGTCTCTAGAGAGAAAAGTGTTACTGCTGACGCTGAACTGTAAATCAGTGGCAGGCTATGTTTCCTTCATCCCACATTCCTGACTCTTCCGTCTTTAAACCCATCTCTGCTTAATGCGACAGACCGTGCCCGTGGTGCAAAGTTGTGTGTTTTTGTATTTGGGTCATTCCATGAGGTTGGGGCACAATTTGTGACGGTGCCCATTGTTACGTAGGTTCCGTAAAAATGAATTTATTTCCCTGCATGTTGATTCCAAATTATACATTTTGCAAGGCTGAGTACAGAGGTGTGTATTATTTTAACAGAGTAAACGACCTACTCGACAGGTCATGACAGGTGGTAAAAGTTAACCATGTGACAAGTACACCATCACAAATTGTGCCCCAAACTCATGGAATGACCCATTGGGCAGTGTAGGCAATTAGGGGATACTCTGTGTAGCTTGATCAGGTGCAGGCTGGTGTTTAGCCGGTGCACTGCATGCTACCAGAATAACCAACTGTGCATTTTGATGTATCCTGCCGCATACAGCAGGGTTCTCACGTCAGCCAAGAGTGAACCCAGTGGAGGGTGGAGTTTAATTACAGTCGTCCATAAATCTGTGGGTTTTTATTCCGTCAATTTCTGGAATTACAAGAAGTGAAATCTTTGTTTCTTTTCTATCCTGTCAAAGCAGTGCTGTGTTCATCTTCTACTTACGTGAAGGTGTTGTCGTGGGTTTGTCAGTGGTAACTTTCTTGGTGGGATCCAGTCGCGGTATGTCAGGCTTGGCAGGGGTGCTGGCAAGAGGTGCAAGGGGGGGCATGCTTTGGGCATGATGATGGTTAGCGGAGGAGGTACCCTGGACCACTGAATCCCTGTGCATGGAGATGAAATGAGACAAGTTGGAACATGCAAAAGTGTCAGTTGAAAATCAAAAGATCCCCCCCAAGACGAAATATGACCCTGACAAACAGAGTGTCCTTCGGAACCCAGTCAGAAGTGGATGAGAGGTTGAGCAATGGCATCCATGCTGTGAAACCTGATAAAAAATTTCTAACCTCAGAAAGACTAAAATCGAAGTGAAAATGTTGAACAGGCGAATCAATGCATGGACACCAAACCACATTGAATAACACCACGTGGTAAACTCAAAGCTTGTGGGATTCCATTGTTTGCTTCATTGACATGTATGTTCACTTCGCCCGACTTGGCTGGGCAAGAACTGCACAATAACCATCTCAGCTCAGACAAGCTGTCCGTTTAATTCTTATGTGAGGAAAGGCAATAAACCAATAAGGTATTTCAATGAGGCGAAGGAGATCAGGCTTGGAACATCTGATGTCACACGAACTTGGACACAAAATGTCACACAAGGGTGTGTGAGTCGGCACGCAACTGTGCTGACTGGACCAATCTCACCCTTCATTTCAAATAACCTATGGCACTTCTTATTTTGTGCAAGCGCCTAAAAAGCCTTGCTTGAGGACACAACTGACTGCAACGTCTTGGGCTGGATTCAAATCCACACTGTGTAGAACACCACTCTTGGGGTTGCATCCACCAACCCGTGAGCCTGGAGCTATAAAAGTACTCAGACTTAAAGGACACTCACCGTGTTTCCTGCTGTAGCAATGGCTGTGACAATGGGACGGTTGCTGGACTGGCCTTGACAGGCTCTTGGTAGGTGTAACTCACCACAGCGTACGGACAAACCTGTCGGGGCCGCTTGACCATGTCCAATTCCCCGAACTCATACAAGTAGATCTGAAATTTTAAACACACAAAATCAGACATGTCAGTATGTAGTATACGTTTGAATCAGGATTCTTGCTTCCCTTTCACTTGCATACATGTATGTGAAACTGACCTTTATCAAGGCCTGCTCTGATAGGCCATGCATGTAAAACAGCTCCAAGATAATTAGATTGGAAATGGACAGAAAGGTAATGGAGAACAGAGCCAATGTACTAATGAAAATTTGATGAGACAAGTTTCTGAGACGGCATATTAGTTTCAGGTTTACTGATTACATGCATAACTGTGCGTCATCTCATTTGCCAAAGAGGCAATGAGAAAAATTAAAATGACTGATTAAACAGGGAAAATGGAAATTTTCTAATTTTCTCAATCAATTTGACACCCATTTGATTCATTTCCACGACATTCAACGGACAGTACAGAGACAGCGACGGATGACTATCCAAATTTTCAAGAAACACATGTACACTGAATTGAAGTGTTTTTACAGAACACGCAAGTGTAAGCTTGTCCAACCCAGCTATGGTGATGTTAACTTCTCAAACAGAAATGGCTACAATAACAACCATCATATTTATCTCTACCGAGCTTTGTGCAGAACTCCGCCCAATAATAAAAGACTACAGATGGCTTCAACCTAATTAGCATTACATTAAAAAACTGGGGCCAATTATCAAACTGATTACTGAAGTCTCCCAGCACTGTGGCGGGTGGGAGGGGGGGGTTTCCCTGGTTCCCTGCATCCAATCACACAGTTTAGTGTTCTTGGTGCATATTTTCTTTTGTGCAGAATTGAAACACTGGCAAAACAAACAATTTGAACTGCAGGGCGTCTCATGGATTGAGTGTGGCTCGGGTCAAGAGAAAAACTGGATCATCTACCGCACATGTACGGTTGCAAGAATGGCAAACCTGAATTTGCAAAAGTAACTAATACAGAAATGGGGAGTTTGCTCATAATACAATGTACAGGTACAAGTAATGGGTTGAAGGGGGTTGGGACTCGCATAGATTACTTATTATCAAAATATTACGAATATGGCAAATTTACAAAATGGCAACATTTCCATAATGCTCATTTGTCAAAAACAACTTGCCAAAATCAACCATCACTGTACGGCTGTACTTTGTTTGATTGAGGACTGCACAGCCTTGACATCATTATTTTGTTCCGTACTTGACGCCGTAATTCTGTCTAACATGTCTAAAAAGAATGCGCCATTGGTTTATTACACAGAGTTCAATTTTGGCTGATTTTAGAAGGCTCCTAAACGAACAGCAATACAGATATATTTTGTCCTTCAAATTTAAACAATTAATTCATCTGAGTGTTAGTCACTCTGAGACTAGCATAAAGAAATTGTGTTACTTCTTATTTTTGGATTGTAACTGTCTGATGATCAGGAAAGTGCAGCACAGCGAAAATAGCCACACAGCAAAAATTTACCAAAAATGAAACTAATGTCTCCACACATGCAAAGGTCAATGCTTCAAACAGGACTTCCTTTGTGTAAAACTAACAAAAGATACATGCACACAGGGTTGTGAAAATGAATCGTACTTCATGGCCAAAAAACCTTTCCACCTCATAAAGACATCCCAAAATGAGGCACAAATGCAGGTGTATGAAATAACACAAATTCTTTAGACGGAAATCAAACAAACATTTTAATAAACAATTTCATAAATTCACATCTAATTTGAAATTTGAAGACAAGTTTTCAAACATGAATTTTTAAACAAATTCAAAGCTCAAAATCACAAATTTAATATCAACAGTTACTGATACTTAAATTGCAAACGCACGGACATATATGTACATGTATGTATGTCCTATGAAAACAAAAGTAACCAACCTACTTTTGTTTTGCACATGTTCTAGTACAGAGCTATATATAGCTTACAAGCACTGTCGACAATGAACTTGTTTTGGGTTCAAAGTTGTTCCCTGGTGGTATGGTGTTTTACTGTATGTCTAGCTGGGCTCCAATCCTGTGTTAAGAACTCTCATTTTTTGTGGGACCTAAACCCCCAACTATTCAGTGAACCTTGTCAGGAATACCGCGAGAAGGAAAAACACAGTAGGGCCAAACAAAAAGTAGCTGCTTTCTGGTTAATGGACTCAATCTTGAAGGGCATACCTACACATTTTTTTATTTGAAAAATCCTTCTTTTCTATTCATTACAGTGACAAACGCTCACTTGATTTTTGCACATATTTTGTAGTTATTTTTGAACTGGTTGGTCTTAATGTAGTGATTTGTTCCAACATCCATTGACGTGTACTTCCTATATTCACAGATGTACATTTTTCAAACATTCAATGGAGAGAATGGTGCCAATACCTAGTATCAATGTGTAGAGTATTAAATCTGGCATCGCCATTGAACTAACTCACTTGTCATTAGTTACAAATGAGTGCAAACATATTCAACGAATTTACACAGACCTGTGGCTTACTCTAATATTTTTGGCCAAAAAATTCGAACCCCATTAAAACATAACTGAACAAACCTTTTTTTTTTTTTTTCAAAGTGCACGCAATAGGAAACAAGAGTTGTTTTTTTGTTTGTTTTGACTATCAGCCTCTGACTTTATCAAGGCTATGCAGTCAACTGGGAAGGAGTGACATATTAATTTAAGTAGTATACTGGCATCACCTTGTTTTATTTCGGAAACTTCTGTTTGGTTACGAATTCCAGATCAAAATACTCTGGGGACGTGATGCTGGAAGACCAGGAAAAACATCCTTTCATGATAAATATTCAGCAGAAAGGAAAATAAATTGCACATAACCCACAAATTAATGACTGGTTAGATATTAATTAGTCAACTGAGCTAATAAAGATCACCTGCCAAACACATGTACATCAACATGTGCATCATCAACATGTGCATTCACAGCTGGTTCCTTGATTTATTGATTTACCTGAGTAGCATCAAATGCCATAGGTGTCTGCAATGAGGAGAGCTTGGTCATGTCCAGGGCGCTGGATTTGGCCACGTGACTGTCGTAGTTGGGGATAGGCTCCAGGACACTGGTGTAGTTGAGCGGCATAGCTTTGACTCTTCCCTGGCGGACAAGAAAATGAGAAGAGAAGCATCATTCCGCTGGTAGACTTCATGAAATTAAGGCAGATTGTAAGGAAGCAAACACACCCATCGGACCACTACCAGTAACACTGGAACTGATGATGCTTGGGCTGAGCAGAAATGGTTCTGGTTAGTAAAACTCAGCAGGCATCTGCCAAGAATCAATATGCAACACATGAATTTCTTTGGCTGGTAACGTGCTTGGCTGCTTAAAAAATAATATTTGAGGTGCTTAGCATTCCTTGTAAGTGGACGTATACAATTTTTTGGGGGGAGGGGGTGACTTCTTCCTCCCCGCAACGGTAAATGGAGCCAAGAATTCAATCAAGATCAAGAACCTGTGCTTAATTATTGGGTAGAAATCTGACTAGTTCTGTATCCATACAGAAACAACCCCCCCCCAAAAAAAACCACCAACCAAAGTTCTGTGAAATTCATACAAAGGGACAATGAATGCATGCAAAAATATAAGCATTAATTAATTCTTTTGTTTAACGTCCACGATTGTTTGGGAACATCAGTGCAACGGTATGAATATACACACGTACACGAGGCCGCATAAAATTATGTTAGTCTGATCCTCAAACAAGTGAATTACATTACCGATACCACATTCAACGTCTGCAGGAACTAGACTACATAGCGCGGTACTCGTATCGAGTCCAGAATACAACGTGGATGTACACACACCACGAAGTGCACCGTACTACTCCTGCGTGCATACCAACACCGAGAACATGTCTCTATGGGAGAAGCCTGCAGCCAACCGAGCATGCGTGTGTTGCCATTGTTCTAACCTGTGTAGTCAAATCGTGTGCGTACGGTTTACACAGCGGTGTGCGTATATGTACGATGCAGCTGGGCTCGATACCAGGTTTCAAATTTTACTCATATAAAATGCATGTGAAACACCAGTCTTGTAAAACCTCGTTCTCAGGCACGAGGACGTGTGAGGAATACAAAAAGGACAGGTACATTTGTACAGTACATTTTCATCCTCAAGACGACAGAATCAACTGTAAAACAAATGAGTTTATTCTTCCGTTCATTTTGTCATGCATTCGAAGGCAATATGAATATTCAATTAGAATATTGTAAACCCCTCCCATTTTCTCAACGGATTCGCGCGATTCACGAGGGTTGACTTTTGAGGCCCAAAAAACAAGAATTCCAAAAAAACGGAGAAATCACATACGTTTTATGTGCAGGTTATCTACACATCAATAATTCATTATGCTACATGTATGCTACCTGAAAAAGGAAGGCCGACTATTACTGGCCAGATGTCAAGCAATGCACATTATACATGTAAGTGCTCCATTTGCATGGGAAAGCGCCAACTTCCCAGACATCCAGATGTGAAATGTAATGTCAATTTTTCAATTAATCATCTCACATCTCCTGGGATGCTTTCCAACTGGTTGCAATTTTCAAAGGACACTTCCCACATGTCCCCATTCAAAAGCCTGAACCTGCTTAATGAGCAGGGCCCACCAAAGAGTCACTGAAATAACTACATCCAATGCATTTCAAAGTCCATATTATGTACGTTTGAAGGAGCGAGTACATGCAAACAGAATCCTGTTCAGGACTGTGCAAAAGAGACAAAATTCCAGGAAAACTGGAAAAGCCACAAAACTGCTTATTTGAAGAACTCTCACCCACCCCCAGTGGGAATTGGAAAGAAATCAAAGAGAAACTAAGCTTAATAAATTGCAAATCTGACCTTCCAGGGTTGTTTTTTGTAATCTCTGCTGAGCCTTGGTTGAGCCAAGAACTTTGCTATGTCTAGCTATTTGCCAAATGGATCATTCTATAAGTTAGGGGTTCCAATTTTTTCATGTCCCTGTTAAATCTGACATATGTTTTCTGTAAGTTCAGAACACATTCTGTAATAAACCATTTGCGAGTTAAATTTGAATAAAATCTGGTACACTGAGTTCTTTAAACTCACGTGAACATAACAACTTGAATTCTCCACACTAAAACCACTGTTGCTTTACCTTGTGATTTGGGGTAAGCTTTTTTCTTAGTTACATGTACATAAGAGATGCCTTACAACAATACACCGTTCTCAAGGGATAGGAATGGCACAAAGGAACCAGTCCATTCCAGAGATAGTGGTCGCTATGCAAAAGCTTGCCCCGAATCACGAGGTATAGCAACAGTGTCTTTAGTCTGGGGAATTCAAATTGTTACGTTTCTATACAATCAGATAATACAGTGTGCCAGATTTTATTCAAATTTAACGCGCAAGTCGCTTATTTCCAAGAGTGATGAATTGATGCGAATTATCTGCCAAGCAAATGGAAATAGTTTGACATCAATTTCAGTGATATTTCCGGGTAAAATTATACAGGTCAGTAGTAAATGGGATCCAAAAATGTCACACTTTTGGACCCCAGATTTACAAAACGGCCCAAATGTAATAATTTGCTATGGCATGACGAAGATTTAAAGCACAGCCTGCGATCTCTATGTGGCAGAGCAAAAGTTTGAAAATTGCTTGATAGGCCACGGGACTGATTTCTACATTTCCTTGGCTTCAGATGTAACTTGCCTCAAACTCAAATAGTAATCTCTTACCTTCAGAATTTTCAAAATGATCAGAATTCCCTGGTGACCAGACTCGAGCCCCTCCCTTTTAATGATGTCCGCGTACCGGGAGAGATACACACCTACATCAAGACAAAGAGAGACCATTCCATCCTTCTTATCAGTTAGCAGAAAGCATGCCACAGATTTGCAGTACACATTCTGATATCACTGTGAGTTAGATTTTAGCAGCATCGGGAAGACACCAAGTAAAAAAAAAAAAAATAAAGGTACAGTTCAGGGAAAACTAAGCATTTCTGAATAACCCCAAAAGAAATTCTGGACCATGTGATGACTAGTCAATGTTTTGTACAGACGTAAGATTGTAGGCTATTTTAAGCTACATGTATGTCCCATCACACAAAGCCACTATCAAACTGACCTTAGTACATGTACATGAATCTATTGATGTTTGATACATGAAGATACAAGCATGTTTGTATTGGACACTCACAAATGAACTTTGCGGGTTAATTTTTAAAAGTATTGCAGCAAAGTTGTCATGTGTACAGATAAACGCATGTGTTTGAATACCCTGGACACAGGCACACTGGTAGATTGAGCTCATGAACATGTTTGAATAATTGAAAGAAAAAAAACAGTCATAGTTACACAGGAAAAACCTAGGATCTGGAAAGAACATATGTACGGGTAGGAATTCATCGGCACAAACTAGGCCACTATTGGCATTACCAACAAATAGCCAGATTATCCCTTACCAATCATGCGTGACACAAGCACCGAGTTGCTGGCACCAAATGAAAGAGGATAAAATGAGCTTTCAAACCTAGCAGGCACAGATGGAGAATATTCAATAGTTGCTAAACAACAGCCACCCCAGACTCTGGGTTTCCCCCTTTTTGTTGGGAGGGGGGAACCATACAGGAACACAGAGAAGTGATCTTGACACAGACCTACTTTCCTGGCCTCCACTTATGAGCTAGGTTCCAATCTCAACCGAGCCCACGTCAGTTTGGTTTTCAGTCTCTGATTTTAGTGGGTTTTCTTTAGGATGCCTGTAGTTTATTTATTTAGGCTTGTGAGCGACAGCGAAGGATCCTGGGGGTGGAGGGACAATGGAGGCCACTCAACGTCCTAGAAAGTAACTCCTTGGGATCACAATTAAAACAGCTTAAAAGAGCCATGCTGGTTTCTCAGTGTCTGATGAATGTACTCAGGATCCCAGCCTGTGTTGATTAACGGAAAGCATCATGTTATAAGGTGCGTTGTGCTAACCTAGTTTAAGAATGGTGCCACACACATCATGATTACATAACTCACCCATTTTGGGATTTCCAAGTGGCGCAACATGGCCACCCGTGGCAGACACGCCATCTTGACACATCTTCTCAGCCTAGAGAAGTAAAGGTGAGAATGCATCCACTCAACAATAGTCCCCAATGAACCAATACCGGTATCACTGTCTCGAGCTACGTTAAACATCCTGGCCAAGTCTAACAACTCATCAAAATATTGAAAAACAAGATGTTCGATCCTGGGTGGAGGGTTCATGCTTGCGACCATCTGAATACAGAAAATTACCTCCAGTTTTATTTTCTTCAGTGCTTGTAACGAGGTTGGTTTTATTCAAAGTTGCCTTCCATGGAAGCATTGTGACTTTCTTGTAGCCTAATTTCCTTCAAATAACAGTATTAGGTGCTTCAAAGGTAACATCAAGATACGGAAGAGTGCCGAGAGACCAACTCTTGTTCTAATGCAAACGAGAATGTCTCGATGATTGACAGAAGCAAAGCTTTGTCCAGCTGCCTGCCAATAAAAACCCTACGTATCTCTGACTTACTGCTTTATTGTTGTCCGTTGCTATGAAAGCGTAAGATTCCATCAATTCTTTCTCGGTTCTTCCTTCGTCTTTCATCTCTTTACGCCGTTCGTGAAACTGAGGTAGGAAATGAGCAATAACCGTCAATACACCAACATGAGCGACATCTGGTTTCACTGTTATGTTGTGCAGACAAGAGTCCTATTCACTTTCACTATAAATAACCATAAACTATAAATTCGCTCTTGACGCTCCCTGGCTGCACGTACATGTTTGCCTTGCCTTGTTTGGCAGACTGTGAAATCACTCAACTGTAAATTCAATTCATTTATTCATCTTGTGCAGGTTTGATTCATGTTGCAACGCCATAGACATTTTTTCCCACGGAGAACTGACCTGTACAAAGGTTAAAGCTCACACATGACAAAGTCCCATAAAAAACAAGTCCCCACCACTTCGGCTAATATATATGTAAGACATGGCTATTCTGTTTTTCTGGAGTGGCACAATCTCCAACTCTTCAGTATGAAGCACTAAACTTACATGTTACACAGAGTGTGCACACGGACAGGTCAAGATTTTGGGAAAAACAAATCCAGCCAAAATGAAAGAATGTCAGAGAATAGGAAATTTAATTTTTGTCAGTTAACAATTGGTCAAAGACAAAGATAAACTAGGCTGCATACCGTCCTGGTTAGCTCCTCGTTGTGAATCAGCTGCGCCTTGGTGAAGGTGAAACGATTCTCTGCATCCTTGCTGCGATACTGCTTGGTGATGATAGGCAAGATATCTTTGAGGAACTCCCGGGACTGAAGTGAGACCTCTTGGAAGAGACCTACAAGGCAAGAACAACACAAGAGGTTTTACACTATTATGTGAATGAGTCTGGACAAAATTGCTGGGTTTGGAAACTTCTCGACCACAGTAAAAAAAAAAAAAAAATGTAGAGATTCAAGACACAGTTTCACAATTGTCTTCACCTCTGGGTAAGTACATGCACTGCCGTTAATAAACAAAGCTGGAATTGTTGAAGGTAGAATGAATAAATACATGCCCAGTTCACACATCGAGAAATATGTAGCATATGGTACCTCTACGCGCATTAAACACAGCCTGCGTTGTTGAAGTATAGCAACTGTGTATTTTGTTTCAGAATAACATGATCTCTTCAATGTCACTGTCCTCCTTAGCATGTGACTGTCACATGGTTTCTGATTACATCATGTATTTTCCCCATAAGCTGGCTTAGGATTTAAGTCACGTGACTTCATGATGATGAGGCTGGTTAGTGCTCCATCCATCCAACTACAGTGTAGAGATCAGTGTATTCAAAAACATTCAATGCTTCATGATTGGCTAAGGGAAATTTCACGGTGACTGGCATGACTCCAACCAGATCTGCTGTCTCAATAATGACAGCCAGCTGAACAATGTTTGGCAAGAGGGCTACCTGGACCTGAATACACAGTACAATTTGGAAATTTTTAAATTTCATGTTCAGCTTTACTGCCTACATGTAGGTACATGTACTGTTCACAATTTCTTCCATTGGTTTATAAATGTACTATAAATGTGACTGACATGACAACATGTGAAAAATTGTGACAGACATCACATGAGTCTGACACTACACTGATGTTCAACCAATCAAATCTTCAAATTGGCAATTATTTACCCACTCAAAATTTATATTATTTTTGAAAAAGATGTTTGAGGAAAAAGCATTTTGACATTTTGATCCCTGAGTTGCACTTTCACGGAATTGGCCTTAAGACCTATGTCATCACGTGTTCACTTACTGATTTATGGATTCTTCCATTTTCTTTTTCTGTTTACTTTCTTTTCCCACTGAAGTGCATGTTGGTCTGCCAAGAACTTTACATAACATCAGTGTGAGTTGGTGGGGGGGAATCCATACTGTACCTGCATGTTTTCTGCCAATTTAAGGCCAAGGACTAATGTGCAGACAGTGTTTGATACTTTCTACCTTGGAAATAGTCTACGGTCCTACTCACACATGTGCCATGTGTATCAAAGTTGGCCCAACAAGTGACACTGCATGTTATGGTCATTCCTTTTCACTTAACCAATAACCAACTGATTTTTGTGACATGCATGAGAGTCGTTAATTCCTGAAGCCAATTACACAAAACTTATACGTAAGCATCTTTCTCCCCAAGAAGTTTTAGCAGGGCGGGCCGCCCTGCCAAAACTTACACAAGTTTCATTTGTTAATTCACTGAAATTGTTATTTCTGAACTAATTTTCTCAAAATCAAGAATTGCTTAATCAGAATTGGCTTGCTACAATGGCTCTGGCTGACTTTTTATACGAAGAAAAAAATTATCGCTATTCGGAACCGGTTAAACCGACTCACAACTAGAAGTGTTGTAACTTCTGACAATCCCGTAAGTCCAGATTAAAAGCTTAGATTTTGAAAGTAAATTTTGAGGTTTTTCCAATACACAAGGTAGAAGACTGACCATATTATTGGATTTTGTCACTGGAATCTGACAATGGAGTTATTTTTGAGATCTGGAAATAGGGAAGCGACTGTACATGATGTAAATCATCTACTCGAGCTGCGTCCACGTACACATGCACATGCATGGAGGTAAGAAAAGGGTACATGTAATAAACAATTTGCTCGATGGCGAGTTTGGATCAGTAAAAAAAGGAAAAGCCCCAGAAAGAAATGAACTAATTGATGATCTCCCAATGACAATCTTGCCTTCATTTCAACACGAGCAAATTTGATTCAAGGAGTCTAAAGAAGGTGCCCAGGAAATACCTCAGTTTGCACCATAGAGAGTCTAGAATCCAAAATTTCCCGGGCCCTTGAGGGAGCCCCGGACCCCACGCCATATTGGATTGGCACTCGCATTACGTGCCGCCCTGCTGTAATTTTAGGTTGTGCGTGGAGAACACTGCTTAGATATTACTCTCTTTACGCTAAATTTTAGAATACACCATACCTCGCACCCATACACAAATCCCCAACCTGCCTACTGTATTTTTCAAGTGAAGGAAACACTACCTCCTTGGTTGGCTTTCTTGTTTCTTGTTAAAAATGTGCATTTTAAATTGTCCTGGTAGACGTGCACGTATTTCCTACAACCCAGGAAAATCTTGAGGAAATGTTGCATCAAGTGTTAGGAAGTTATGACAATTGGAGAGGAGATGTGGAAGGGGTCAGACAAGAAATACTACATGTACATGTATGTGTACTTTGTTGTCGATACTGATGTTGGACGTGATTGATTGATACGCATGAACATTCCACTGGGCTGATGGTATGACTGGATTGATCAAGCAGCATGATTTGTTTAAAATCTCTCTGCCATCGGCCAATTGCCTTTTCTTTTTACTTCATGGGAGTGGCAAATTGTTTCGGAAAGGAAAAGTGAAGTTCAGAAGGTTCTTACACTATTGACCAATGACGCTATGTCATTTCCATGCACAAACCATCCAGATTGACCAAAGACATCTACCTCCATGATCATCTGAAGTTAGAAAATAAACATTAACCCCAACCCTCCAAGGGATCTTGGCTAGCGACCCTGCCAGACCTTTCAGACTGCATCGTTTGTCAAAGCAGTGGCTTGCCTATGGAACGCCAAAGAGGCAAAAACTTAGAGGCAACACATCTATCGTTCTTCAACATCGATCGATCGTTCCCCTACATCGATCGATCGTTCTCCTACATTGATCGATCGATCGATCACTTTTGATCGATGAAGAAAGAGCAATGAGAAAACAGCAATGAAAAAAGAGCGAGAACGAAAGACCGATGAAGAAAGACCGATGAAGAAAGACCGATGAAGCTACATCGATGCCAACATTACGTTACCTCTTCCAGCACCAATAACAGGTGTTCCCTGTAACCATAGCCCACCAGCACACAAGGCCACCTGTGTTCAGTACCCATAAGTCTGGTACCAAGCCAATGGAGTTGTCAGATGGGTGTTTATATCTAGTTTCCTTGTCATGAAACCACTGAGGATATTTCTATTTTCCCCTGGATGGGATGCCAGTTCATTATGGGTCGCTCCCTGGCCACTGTGGGCAAACATACAGTATTTACTCAAGGTGGATACGCATTTTATTTTCCACACTGATAACATTCTGGCGAAACCGGAAGAATCGGCTGAACCAGTGTAATTATTCTGTCATTCATTGACCTACTTATCTAGCTATGCACTTCCATAACACTGATGAACACACTATTTCCTTCTGAATTTAAAATATCTTGATCTAATTTGTCAACTTGTTCAATATGACCCTTTCCTATTTTCATTCCTGATCCCCTGATACCCTAAGCTAACACCAATGAGGTCGAAAATAACAAATAAAATAAGCATATTGTTAAAAGTAAACAACGACAGCGTCTTATCTCGGCCGTTTCATCGATCCTAAAAGACTAGCGCCTGGATGTTTAGAGAAAACAAAGGATTAAATCGCAGCATTTGGACTACAACCGCCGATACTATCTCTGGACATCATCGTTTGACCGATGAGTGAGTAAGAGAGGATTAAAATGAACATACAAAGAAACTTCAGAAGTTTTGTAACCTGTTATTATTACAAATGAAAAAAAAAAGAAAAACTTGAACATTTCTTTGGGACTCTGTAAGCATTAACTAAGATTAAGAAGAACTTGCGCCAGATAATGTCGATGAGGCCTATGAGAATTTCTGAAATTTCTGTATGACAACAATTTTCCAGTGTGAGCTCCGAAGTTATATTCATAAGTCAAAATCAAAGTCACGGAATCTGTAACTCAATCAGAGAAAAAAAATCGGCATAAAAATATCTTCAGAATCCTACAGTTCATAATAAATCTGCCAACATAAAGTTTAAAAACAAATTAACATGTGTTATAAGAATGGCAAAGAAAAATTACTTAGGTGAACAATTTAATAAAGAGAAACATAATGTTAAAGGTACATGCATGGGAGATTATTAATTCGTTGCTCGGTAAAGCGAACGTTAAACATCCCACTACATGCAAAATGATGCTAAAATTGATTTTTACATTGATATTGCTACCGCTTTTAATGATTATTGACATTGACAAAAAAATAGCAAGTGAACTTCCTCAATCGAGCAGTTCATTTGAACACTTTCTTGATGAAAGATGTGCACATTCTTTATTTTTCGCTCCTGTTACCGAAGCAGATGTAGCACTATTTCCAAACCTACCTATTAGTTTGAATAATGAACTCAGATCATATAATCATGTCAATCTACTTCCATTCTTTAAAGGTCTGGTCTCAAGATCTAGCACATCTGTCTTTATCTGTTGTCTATCCTGCCAGTGTATCCTGTGTTCATGTCTCATGTCTCCTGTCTTATGTTTCTTGTCCAGTCTGAACCATTGTTCGTGTAAATAGGGAAAGCCAGAAGCATATGCTGCTTTTTTCCCCACATGTTGGTAATAATGTAGACTCTGTACAATAATATTATCAAATTTAATACACCAATTCCCATTATTTGTTTAACAAATTTCACTATGCACGTATGATTTTTAGGTATTTGGGATTCCTAGAAACTCTGTAATTATACTTTCATTTCCTTTAGCACTGAGCTTCATGTGGGTTGACTTTTGAGTAGCATTCTGACAGAATAGTTCTGCTGAAACGCTATTAGTGTGGAAAATAAAACTTGAGTCATTAGGAGTAAGAATAGGTGCCCATACTGGCTAGGGAGCGACCCATAATGAACTGGCATCCCATCCAGGGGAAAATAGAAACTATTCTCAGTAGTTTCATGACAAGGAAACTAGATACAAACACCCATCTGACAACTCAATTGGCTCGGGACCACACTGAATATGGGTGGCCTTGTGTGCTGGTGGGCTATGGTTACTGGGAACGCATGTTATTTGGTGCTGGAAGAGGTTATGTAACGTTGGCATCGATGTAGCTTCATCGGTCTTTCTTCATCGCTCTTTTCTCATTGCTCTTTTTTCATCGATCAAGATATCGATCGATGTAGGGGAACGATCAATCGAAGTTGAAGAACGATCGATGTGTTGCCTTTATGTTTTTGCCTGTTTGGCATTCCATACTTGCCTGCCTAGTGTAACAAGATCCCACAGGTCAAGTCTCCCCAAGGCCAAACAGCCAGAGAGTCTGTGGTTGCCAGTCACCACAATACCAAATGATGGAATTGTTTAATGGGACCAGCCCCCACTGTCTCAACATGGCCAGTTTGTTTGGCTACTGTTGATTGCCAAATGCATGAAACTTTTTCACCTGATGCACTGTGCTGCATCTGGTAGGGTTAGGGTAAAAGAAAAGATCCCGTGTGTACCCTGTTTTGCTTTCTTCCGTGGAATAACAAACGGTTTGCTGAGTGGCAAGTAGGCTGCCTTGGCATCTGCAGATCCTGAGTTTCTCTCTCGTCTGGCTGCCTTGGTGATCTTGGCTCCCATCTCTCCATGCGCCTTCCCTTTGCCGTCTCTGTTTTTGACTCGGGTGTCTGTTGTCACTCCTTTGGATGTGCTTTTTGGCTTTCTTTGCTCTTTTGGTACAAGGCTCCGCTTCTTTCGGTCGATGTTGTTCAGTCTTGTGCTTGACCTGCTTTTTCAACGTTTCATTTGCTGCTGCCGGCTGTAAAGCCGAATGCTCTGAAGGAGTATTTGCCTCAGTGCCATCTGCAACATGCACCATTGTCTTGGCATCTTTTGGAAAACTGCTACTTTGCATTTTACTTCCAGACAATCTATCCTCAAAATCGGATGAACTGCTTATCACTTCAGGTGACAGCAACCGTGGTTGATTTACACCCTCTTCTTGCGATAATCTTGAAGAAGGTTTGGAAACAATTTGTTCCAATGGAGTACAGGTATCGTTGTCATTTTTGTTTCCAAGAATGTTGGACTCGGCCTCCAGTTTCTCATTTGGTTGGATGTTTGCAGCTGTAGTTGAAACTGGCATAACAGGCGATTCTTTGGAAACTGTTGAAGATAGAGACGGCGGAATTTCTTCAAGTTTTTTCGCACTAGGCTGTTGCTGTAGGATGGTTTCATCATCCAGTCTTGTTGGGCAGCCATTTTGCTTGTCGGGCTGTGAAAGACCCAAAGCACTATCTCTGTCTGTCTCACGAGGGGGGAGCTCTGACAAACCGAGCTCACTTTCTACTTCGAAACACCTAGGAACCTGCGTCGGCGTGCCTTCTCCAACCACCACGTGTAAGTGGCTGCTTTGATCCTGTGCGCGTTCTGCAGGCTTCATCTCCACATCAGATTCACAGTGCGAGTTTTCCCCCTCTTTAAACTCGACTTTCTCCCGCGCAACAGCAAAATTTAGCTTTTCAAACAGATTGGCCATCTCAGTAAAGGGGCTCCTCGTTTACCACAATTGTAATATGATCACATATTCCGATTTTTCTTCAGGTTTCCGTGTAAATTCCAGCACCATACTCGCAAACAACGTCGACTGTTCATTTCGCGTTGAGTCCACTTACTCGTCTAATAATCAACATGATGTCAAGCAGTCGTATATGGTGTCAGTGGTAATTGGGCACGTTCCACATTTTCGGATACCTTTACCGTTGGTAGACTTGAATCAAGTCGGACTTACGTCACTCTTACCCAGTCAGCCATTTTCAGCCTGTACGCACTGCACACGCGTTAGTCGTAAAAGTTATAAGGCGCCCCCATTTGAAATCCTTTTTTGACAACGCGTGTCATCGCCACCAGTCAGTAAGTCCGACTTGACGGATGAAGCCAATCGGACCCCCGTCGGTGATAATGTAGTTATTCACAATTGAACGAGGCATGATCTTGCATGATGCATACGAAAGTTCAACCAATCAAAATAGTCAGACTTGTAGACTCGTTCATAAATTTCATTTCATTAATTTATTTCGCAGGTCAAATTTACAAGGGTTAAAAATAAAAAAATAAAAAATATTGCATACAGTATAGACAAAAAAGACAAAGTTTAAAAATAACATCAAACCTCACAAAAAGACTAAGGCCCTAACACCAAAATAGTTGCATGCCCCTGCAGGATTACTAAAAAGTGAACTAAATCACGATCGAGTTGTTTGCCCATAGCATGACTAAGAACCCTACCGTAAATTGCAGTTCACAAACATTTTAGCAGACACACATTAAAACACATAATCCAAAGGGTAAAAAGAATCACCCTACAAGATATTCCAAAATCCTGGAGTTTGTGTGATAATCTTATGTATTGCACCATATTAACAAAAAAACTAGGAAAAACATTCCGTTCGTTAATAAGATTCTAAAAACAAAACGAACCCCCCCCGAACAAACTCACAAGAGACAATCAACGCAAGAGGGCGCGAAGCAAGTGACGGCGAGCACGCGATACTGTCTCGATATGTATCCAAAGCATAACCGAATTCATAGAGATTACGACTTGAGCCAAGTCTATACGTTGGACAAATTTAAAGCATTTAAATACATAAATGTACACTGGTCAACAGATGGCGCTGTATAAACAGCTATGGACGGCTTTCTGCTGACCAGTAAATAAGCTGCCATTAATGCCCTCACTTTAAAAAAACCAGGAAAAATGCTCACAAGTTTCTCAGGTGTTAAAGACACATCTCAATCAAAGCTCACTTCCTTATCTTTCGTTTTCCTCTAAACTGACTTTTGAAGATGATGTTGCGACCGTGGATGGACCATGCACTCAGCGCGTGTCAGCCTTTGTTTACTATGCCTAGTTGATATGCGAGCGCGCGAGTGTTCAAGTTGGCGCGGAAAGGCAGCGTGGTCTCACTTTTCGGGCTCTAACGAAGGAACATCTCAGGAGGGCTGTCGTAAAAACTATGGACTAGTTGTGTACTTCACCGCCTTCAATCTGTAATTATTATAAGTAATTCACAGTTTTGCAAATAAAGGAAATAATCAAGAGATGGGAGATTCGATCTGCAAACTTTAAATCTGTGTCTATATACGGTGTGGTCATTTATTGCCTGTATGTGTTGTCCCGTAAAAGTCCACGATGTTTCCCGCTGTCCAGTGCCTGTATAAAGTCCTTAGACCACGATTTGGCTCGTTACAATATCTCTCTCCAGAAATAATCGCAGCTCAAAACAGTCACGATAACGAGGTCCATCGCCATTTTGAAAAATAATTAATGCCTACATCCCATTGCAAAATAGAGACATTTGGATGTCCTCGGTTTGTCCAATACTTTCAGAAATACGAGCTGGCAGTCCTGCCGATAGACTTCACTCTCACTGTTTACAAATCACGGTAAAACATGCATAAACTTGTGCGCGTATGTGATAAGTGCCTGCGTGCCGTACCAACCGGAAGTGTCAATTTCATTTCAAAACACGCCCTCTTTTGTTCCTGCTCGGAGTGGATTGGGCCAGTTCTTTTCCTATCTCCACGGTTTCACATTTGCTCGTAGCCCAGCGCCCGGTAACTTGAAAGGCGGGTGGCCTTGGACAGATTCATCAATGGTCAACTTGACTTGAAGACCGGATCGTACTTCAGGCGAATGGGAAAGTGAAGCGAATTTGACGTCACGACAACTTTGCAGCAAAATTTTGCTCTAGTTGAGATGTTACGAATTTTCAACGCGAATAAATTTGATCTGCCTTCACAAATTCGCGATCGTTTTCGCTTTCGAACCTTTACTGTGGTCAACTTCCGTTGCGAATTTGGCGAACTTGAAGTCGCACTGAAGACATTCGTCTAACCAAGTTCTCACGACAGGCGTTCGCTGGACTGTTTTGAGATGGTGCGGGCCACCGTGTAGAAGGAGAGCTGAGCAGTGAGTAGACTAGATTTTCGGACTTTTCAACTCTTCAACAGTGCTGAAGAGACCAGTTTTTGTAAGTTCGGGAGTGCACGGTATTCATAGCAGCGACATTGTGTCAGCACCCCTTGCTTTTCAAATTTCCACGCCTGGCAAGTTTTTTATTTACGTCATCCCAAGTGTCAATCTTATTTAATTCGAAAGCATGCCCCTATACCACCCTAGTTACATCCGTGTCCAGGCGCTGCCCTCAACATGACATCCTATGACTTTCAGTAGGCTTCAAGTTTTTCTACCAACACCCGACGATTCACTCCGCCGCGCTATAGTGTATAGTTAAGTTACATATGTAACAGAGGCGCACAGGTCACCAGAACCCGTGGAATTTATTAAAGTCTTCAAACCGGAAAACAACCCTACATCAAAAGTATCCGATCAATACATCGACCTGGCCCGTCGCGGCTCGCGCGGCACAGAGGTTACCTTTCACCAGGGTTCCATGCAAACATTTGACTCTTGGCAATACTTTAGTTTAGTACGTCTGTCCATGTGACACCCGAAACTGATTTTTTAACGTGTCACCATATTTGGCATATCATATTTGGCAAGTTACAGCCGGGGGCACCGGGAATTTGTGGGTGGCACGTGCCCCCCCCCGGCTACGCCACTGCCGGAGCTTGGTGTGTGTTTTATTTCTCCATGGTGTTATAGGCTTGTTACAGTGTAATGTTACAGTGTATTTTCCAAGGACTGCTCGCTACATGAGTTGCTGGTTACCCTTCGAGGATATGTTTGATTCCACAGAATTTATTTTTTTGAAACTCAGACTAGGCCCTAAATGTGTTTTTGCAGAGTGGAAAAGTCAGAGTAGATAGATCATGTAATGGGGGAGTGTGATTTAGCGTGTCCGAAATGGGCTTCCAGAGCTTACGGCTAGGTCTAGGTCTGTTAATGTCATGGTGTCTCAAAGTCCTTGACCTACATGTAGCTGTAGACAACAGGTTCTGACACAGCCTTGCAAGACACTGTGTATGCCTAGTGCCGGAGTGTGGAGTGAGCGTGTAAACCATGATCAGTTATTAAACATGGTGTAGTGGTGATGGGCATTCTACAGCTAGGGCCCAAGTTCAACCATACCATGGTTCAACCATGGGCTAAAGGGTGATTCTTTTGTTCTAGTTTATTATGTAATTCTGGTAATGACACCAAGGATTCCTCAAAAGTGCCATTGGCACTGTAGCTCGCAAGCCTGAAGAAACCTGTAGAGAGGAGACAGAATTTCAGAAACAGTTACAGTTTTAGAGGTGGAAGGAATATCTACAGTCTTAAGTAGGCTTACCTGTTTGATCAGTTCCTTCAAGGAAAGAAAAATTTCTCATTCCAGGTTTTCTTCCACACTTTTTTAAAGTTTCGTTTTCCTTTGAGTTTTTAAAATTGGAAAATTTAACTTTTTAAGGCTGATTTAACATGGTTTAAAAAATCATTTTTGCATCTTTTACACTGTCATTGACGAGATATTTCTGAAACTCAGATGGATCAATGGACTCTTGCTGAAACTTTTGTGTCTAAGGTAATGTGCTTAAAAACTGCTTAACCTAGCCTGAAAAGTGCGTTCCAGTAATGAGTAAGCCTATTTCCTGGAGAATTGATCTAGCTGAAGAGCCACCTACATCATGTGTTGCTTGATGATGTCCTGAAAGGGAACTTTCCCTTTGTTTCAGAAAGTAGTGTGTCGCGATTGGCTGGTTAAAGATTTGGAGCTTATGAATGATGTCAGAGGATGTTATGGATGGTAAGTTATTGTTGAAACAACAGAATACCGATTTCTGTCATTTTGTAAGAGAAATGCTTCGCTGAACTTTTTAACAGTATGCACCTTTGCCATGAAACCTTCAGCCAATCAAATTACTCAGAATTGCCTCAGAAAGCACAGTTTGGATGGGTCATATGTGCAGATCAAAGCACTAATTCCTTTTCCAATTAAACACTTCCCGTGGCATTTTTCTCTTGGAATCTTCATGAATTCTCGGACTTGTAATCTTATACTATGCAAGAAACCGAAGGCATTTTCTTTGTATTAAATCTTTCTTTAAATAAATTAAGTTACTGTATCCCTGTGTAAAAGTTATAGGTTTAGTAGCTGGGTTCTGCCTTACTGCCGCCAAATCCTCCAAAATCTAGTAGAAAGCCCTGTGGCTTTATTTTAAATATCAGCTTTGCTTCCCGGCAAATCTTTGAAAAGTCAATATTGTTTTTCAAGCTCTGAAGCTTCTTCTTTTGACTTCAACCTCCTTTCTCCGTAACTCTCCCTGAAGCCGATGACTTTGCACTAGGTCTGCGCACCAGTCTTCACCGGGCAGCCTTTGAGGGTCATGTGATGCAGTTACGTCAGCTGATCGAGCAAGGCGCAATCGTGAACTGCCCCACGATTGACGGGGTGACGCCGCTCCATGAAGCTTGCAGCCAGGGTCACATGGCATGCGTAGTGATGCTTCTAGAGGCTGGAGCTCAGGTGAGGTGGGTGGTCATGGAATTTAAAAGATTTTTGGACTCATGCAAAAGTCGTGGCCCCCCAGGACATGTTAGAGTACAAGTTTATGGGGATATTGCAATATCAATTGAAAGCTTTCAGTTGGCATGTCAAAGGGATTTTTTTTAGGAAGAGCTAATTACCTCTCTGTCATAATCAGGTGAACGCCATGAATGTTGACAGTTCAACCCCTCTGTGCGATGCAGCAAGTTTCGGCAATGTGGACTGTGTGCGTCTGCTACTCAGGTCGGGAGCAGTGACCAACCCGCCCACTATGTTCACCACACCCCTTCATGAGGCTGCCTTAAGAGGTTGGAGCTAAGATTCAGATGATATTTTCAATTCAGATTGTTATTCTGATTAAATCCTTGAAGCAGTTCCGTTTTAGATTCAAGTTCTGATTCCTGTTCCCTAGATACGTTTCCACATTCCCGGTAATTCCAAGTTTCATTCTAGATTCCCATTTCGATGCCATTTTAAGTTACCCTTCCACTTTGTTTTCCAAATTCTGAGTCAGATGCATGCCGTTTTCCAGTCTGATTTCAGTGTTATTCAACATCCTGATTGGCCATGGCCTTTCCAGTGTTTGTGGTGCAATTAGTAAGTTCTTATTTGAATTCAAAGTGTGTTTTTCTGCATTCCTCTTAAAAACAAAAACACAGTTCTTTGACCTACAAGAGGAAAAAAAGTACTGTTGGGGAAACAAAAATCCAAGCGAGTTTACAATAAATGAGTTAGATAAGTCTTCTGTCACAGGTCATGTTACATGTCTTAAGGAGCTGGTCTCCGCGGGAGGCAATGTTGATGCAACGGATGGCCACTTTGGGACCCCCCTGCATGCGGCCTGCCACCAAGGCCGTGTTCAATGTGCCAAGGTGCTCCTCAAAGCAGGTATTGGCTGTGTGCTTAAACAATAGAGGGCGCTCTGGCAAGTCTCACATTTTGCCGGTCCACACACTTTGTGTGTTGAAATGATCAAATCAGTGAATGCTTGCCTAGAAAGGCAAACAATCAAACGACGTGACTGTGTTAGCAATTTCCATCGTGTTCCCAACTTCAGAAGGAAGGTGATGGTCACATTCTGGACTTTAGCATTGTTCCTGGGAGTGTCCAGCAGTTATGATTCTGGCTTGACGCCACTGTCACGTTTTAACTTACTTTACAAGTATTACCAAGTTTGCCGTGCCTGGTAAGGTAGCTCCAAGTATTTTAGGGCATACATGTATCTAGCTGATGTTGCAAACCATGAAAATAATCACAGTGTTAACATTAAAGGCACCACAGAAATGACTTGTTTTACAGGATTTTAACTTTAACAGCCTTTCCTTTTCAGGAGCAAACGTTAATGCCCTGAAAATCCATGAGACTCCCCTGCACGTAGCCGCCTCAACTGGCAACCTTGAGCTGACGCAGCTACTCCTGGACTTTGGTGCCGATGTCAACTATTGGGACAACCGTGGCAGGCGTCCCACTGACAGGGCTGTCAAGGGTGGCGTAGTCGCGGACGTGCTTCAGCATCATGCAGGTTGGCAACAGTGTTAATGCATCCAGACTTGTAGGTCTTCATTGGAAGATTAAAAGGCCGTGTCGAGGGGCTGGGGAGGGGGGGGTTGGTAACCTTTAAGGAGTAAGGCTAAATTTGGGTGCTTCTTAAATGCTTTGAGAAGGAAAGGAGGCCCTCAAACCACCTTTTTCATTATATTTCAAAAACTGAAATAATACTGTCCCTTTTGAGGAGTGCAGTTAGGGTTAATATTGGTTTTGACCTCACTCAAGTCTCAAAGCAATTACACACTTCAGAGGCAAAAGTTTTAAACTCGCAGCTCCTGTGTACATTTTCAGAGAACGTGGCACCCCTCACCCAGCTGTGCAGACTGGTCATCGTTAAGTCGCTCAGAGGGAAACTCTTAGGTTCTGTTCACACTCTCGGATTACCCAAATCAGTTCAAGAATACCTTTGTTTCAGCAGCAGGTGACAAAGAACAGGTAGGCAACCTTACAACCAGCGGTTTTTATGCTCTCAGAAATTTGTTTTTTAGTATCCAGAATGGGTTAGATCTTTGAGAGCAGTGAGATTTATGTTTGATTCATGAGTAGCAGACTCCTGTCTTGTATTCATGAGTTACGGAGGGTAAAGTGTGTCTTCTGTAGTTGTACTAAACATCAAACGGTGTCACCACTGCCAGACTGAAATCGTGATACTCAAGGATGTCGTTTAGAGCTCGTGATTATCAGTATTTGATACAATGTGGTTGGCCTGTTAGTCTACTTTGTGTCATTTTATGTACCTTTTTGCCCAGTGACATGTTGGGGAACTTTGGTATAGAGTACTGAGGTGACGTCGTGCACATTTATATATGTAAAAGGCATCAGCGTGAAACCAGTGTGTGAACCAACAAGCGCGTACTCTGTTTGTTTGCACTGCACTTTTCTGGTTCAAAATGACGTCACACTTTGGTGCTCTGTGCCAGCTGGTACGGCCAAGACAATGGAAACCACTCTCGATTTCAGTTGCAGATTGGTGAAGGTATCCATATGAACTGAAATCTTTAAATCAATTTGCACTTTTGTTCCTGTCTCACAAAGCTACATGTTAAACTGTAAATATTGAACATACGTTATTCGTTTGCTTTGTTAATTCAATACTTTTGACCCAATTTTGCTGAAGAAAAAAAAAATCTGTAACTTTTCTCCTCTGGTTTATTCAGAACAACTGTACATTTTTGTTGTGATTTGTTACACTTCCAGGTCATATATTATTTTTCTCAAACAGCTCTTAACCAGAGGCCAATAGAGTCATGCACAGTAAACTGTGTGCCGTGTATCTTAATCAGCTTACCTTATACCTTATCGATGAAACGTAAAAAGAATTGACATCAGATGCGTTGATCGTTTACAGTAAATCAGTTATCAAAATCAATGATCATATCAAATATCTACTATTTTATCATCGCCAAAGTGTGTACAAAGATAATATTAATACCATGACAAGAATAAAGCTCAAAGCTCCATTTTGGAAAGTTTAAATATTAAACATGCTGTTTTTAAAGCAACTATGAATTTCACTGAATTATTTCATCACTATTAACTGCTACAATAAAAATACAGTTATAAATGTGAAATTTACAGAAGTAGCACTGTACACAACTGGTTTTGTGCTTTGTTACTGTTTAATCAATTCATATACCAGAGGCTGTGTGCTAACACAGGTAATTGAATTTCATAAGTTGGTTAAAATGCTGTTGGCCTCATCTGTGTTTTGCCCACAATGCCCAGGGTGCCTGTAAAGATAGACCGTTTGTTGAAGGTGAACTTGGTTGCTGTGCACAGCCTGTGTTGTAGCAAATATTGCCGCCTTGGCGAGGCCTGGGATCTTGTTTACAAATGATGGCACTGCAGTGAGAAATACCGTGCAAAGAGTCAGCAATCATGGCATTTGGCTGTGTTGGAGAAGTTGGCCAAAAAGATCTTGCACTTTTCAAAAGTCAGGTTTACAGTCAAAACAATACTGGTAGTGTGTGATTAAATGCCCATTAACAGCAAAAATTCTTTCATATGTTCACAAGTGTGGCACTTACAGTGTTATTTCTGAAGACTTGATTACATCACCAAATTTTCTTCAACTGTACAACTTTTCTATTTAAGAATTTCATTCTTTCTGGTTGGTACCCAGATTCGATTGGTTACGTCATGCAGTTCTTCTGTCCAAACCCTCATGAAGTTGCCTGTCACAAACTGGCACGACACAAATCAGTACTGTTTGTTTCTTACAAAATACTGACCTCAAATTGTAGGGGTGCTTAAAAATTGCTTCAGTGCCTCGTCATACTCCTTGTCATCAACTTCCAATGTCTCCTCAAACGTAGTCTGTGACTCTGTCCCTGTGTGGGACAGCACGCGTCTCTGGTGAAACCAGTCTGGCTCGGCCTTCTGATACTCTCTCATCTGCTGGATGGCATGATGAAGGGCGGCACCCTCAGGGCACGCCCCGGCATAGCTCTCTTCCTCCAGGTCGGTGGCCCGCAGCTCCCACTCGGCTGAGCCCTGCTTCATGTCGTGGAGTCGGAAGAAGAAGGCATCCATGTGCTTCATCAGACGGTAGATGGCACCCACGGCCAGGGGCGGGGGGACATCGTCTTTGGAGGAGTAGTCCAGATAGGCCACGCAGCATCTCTCTGGCACACCCACCGAGGAACCGCCTTGTAGGAGGATGCACACAGCTCGGGTGAGCAAGTCGCTTTGCGTTGGACTGGCACTCGAGTAGGCCCGCCAGGCGATTCCAGATCCCTTAGAGCATAGCAGTATGACCTTGTCAGCCCAGTCGAGGACGAAAGTGATCCATTCGTTTACCCCTATGAGGAGACAAAACAACCTCAGATGTCATTGCTGGCACCACCGCTACCAAACAAAGGGTGCGACTAATCCCTTGGCCTCTTTCTAACACTACAAAGGCAAGTCCAACATAGGTATGTATGGAATGCCTAATTAAATTTTGGATACGAATTCCCTTATACAATGGGGTATTAAAGGATTATATTGAATGTTCAAATTGACTTTTCAAACGGATAAGACTACCCTTTGCAATTTGTTGAATGTGTACAGCAGTGTGGCTATTGAAAAATTCAAAACTACATGGAACTAATAATCAGGATGCCGTATATAAAGAAACAACCTGGGGGCTTATTCACGCAATGCAGCTTGTCTGTTGTAATATGTAATAGTTGTCTTTGGCAATTCCATACCCCTCCTTGCAATGTCCTGGGCACACCACAATGGAAGAATCACATCACACATGCAGTATTCATTGAGAAAGGTGGCGAGCCGTTGGACAGTTTCCTCATGTAAGGGATGATCCATCGAGTAGAAGAGCACCGTCTTGATTCGTTTCATTGGTTGGATGATCTCAGTTCTCTCTGTCCCTGCATGAAGAAATATGGAACAAGATAATTGAAAAATATTTAACAGAATGCACGCACAAAGCTGAGAGGAATTCAGTGGAGTTTGAGAGCACGCTTGCAGCCAGTAAGTTTCTCATATATACAGTACCATCAGGTTTTCCATCATAACTAGTTGGGATGTGAACGCCCAATTCACTCTGTTCCCGACCATTATGTTTAAATAAATTGGAGATGACACCTGCGGCACAGTTGGATCAGTAACAGTTCGTTCACTGTATAGACCACCCGCCACGTTTTCTTTGTAAGTTCTGTAAAAAAAATGTTTTTTATCCCAGTCAGGTCAAAATTAACCACCGACTGACATGAATTTGGATTGTCTCATTACAGTAGATTCACAGGTCAGTGCACTAACCTTGACGGAAACCACTTAGCGTAGACATTCTGTGTAGGCTTGGCGTTCGTGACGGAACCGAAGACCCATCAACAATAAGGTCACTGTTATTCTCACCTGCAAACAAGTGGACAGACTACTTAATATTGATTTCTTGCGTGCCTCTGACGGAAGGGCCATGGTGTACCATATTATCCAATACTGCTACCCCTGATTGCAAGGCGTACAATGGCTTTTGGGCCTGCATATTCAAATATGACTCATGGGACAGTAAGTCTGTGCCTCGCGTTACTCGTCACAGAACTCTTGTGTGAATAAGGTGCTGGTAATAAGTCTACCAACCAATACCCATGCACGGCACGGCTCTGTGAAATAAGGTCCGAGAGCTCTTCCGTCGTCTCCAGGCCAACAGCAGGAAGAGCAAGAGGAAGGCAGAGAAGAAGCTGGTCAGAATCACGGCAACCAGAGTCCCAACTGACACTGGATAAGGAAACATGAAGTAAAAACATAAAGGTCATATGATGAGAGTCACATGCGCATGCATCACTGTGGTGAAGACTTGCCGTATCAAAGTCACTATCAAAATCAGACATTTTGATTTTGAAACACTCTTCTTTTATGGCATCATTTCTTGGCAAGCGGCACTGGGTTGATATTTTATTTCGGTGTTAGTAAAATATGAACTACCCAGACTTCAGAGACAATTCAGCGACCAGCAGACCAACGAATGAGGAAATTTCACACGAGAAGCCAGTTAAGATAACATTTTGGAACACTTTGTTTATGGTTGTATGTGATTGTTGTGGAATCCAATACAGTGAACACTAGTGTATTGGGACAAAATTGAACTTTGCAATTGTCAGCAACAGAATAAAAAGACCTGCAATTGATTTTGATGTCAAAGACAGCCCCTTCACTGAAAAGCATGAGATGAACAGTTCGATAACGTCTGGTAACTAAAACATGCAGTATCTGTGAGCCTAGCACCTGCTCAAGAATCTGCTGGTTTGTTGTCAGTAGAGGGTGAGTTGTAAAGTAACAGTTGCACCTGTCCCTGAGTAAATATGTAGAAGAGATTACATTGATTTAGTAGTTGTGTATGGATTTAGTTTGTCCAGCAAAATGTGCTTCCTTGTCCTTGGTCTTTCAACCCACAATCCAGCAACCTTCATTTTAGTTGCATATCTGCCTTGCTGTTGATCTTGGCGTTACCTTCACAAGAATGGTGCATGTCATCGTAATGGTAACCAAAGTTGCAGTTACAGGTGAAAGGAACAGCGTTTACGCTGCCTTCAGTTCTCCTTAGTGATTGATCAGAGTGTTTGCAAGAACTGTGTCTCCCACAGGGATTTGTTTTGCAGGAGTCAGCTAGAACAGAGAAGATATATGTTCATTGAGGCAGATTCCCAAAGTGTTTTGGAGCAAAACTTTCTGGAATAGTTTCTTACAAGAGACCATCCTTCCTGCTCCGTACAGCTGCCTCATTGTCACTGCAACACAGTTTAGTGCCACAAGACCCCCCCTCGTCTTAACGTTGATATCGTGCAATCATTTTGACACCAAATTAAGACAACTCTTTTCTGCCTTTCCACACTATGTCCAAGTTTTGAAACATAACCATTATGTCCATCAACCTTGCACAGCAGGATGTTTGTAATCCATAGACCAACCAAGTAACCAATAACAACAAAACACCATTTTTAATTTAATTGTAAATTCCTGTCTATGTGTTATGTGTGTCTCTGCATTCAGTATTTCAACCTCTTGCCTCCTGTTACAGACCAGCAACCTTCCATTCAATGTGTTCACAACTTTCCATGCAACGTGTTTACAACCTTCCATGCAATGTTTTCACAACCTTCCATGCAACGGTTTTACAACCTTCCATGCAACGGTTTTACAACCTTCCATGCAACGTGTTTACAACCTTCCATGCAACGTTTTCACATGCTGATGCATTTTGTAAGGTGTGGCTGATGAGTTGGGTTAAAGAATTAAATATGTCATGGGACTTCTGCCGTCTGCAGAGGGAGGGGTGGTTTTGTTTTTAAAAAGTGTTCAAATTTTAGTTCAATGTCTCAAAAGAGAGACTTGAGGCTTGGGTCACATGACTCCACCGCTGCACTTGGTGTTTGGCTAAGCTTTTTGAATGTTTGCCATCTGGAATGTGCTGGACAGACATTGACAGCACTAAACTTGCTCATGAACAGCAAATCCAAGCCCTTTGACCCAAGTTCAGCCAGCCCCTTGCTATAGGGTTTACTTTTCAATTGAAATATCTACCTCTCCTGTGTCATGCAATGTTAAAAGCTGTATGTCCATTCCCCAGAAAATCTTTGGGAAAAAATTAATGAATAAATAAAAACTCACACATTTTGGCTAACCCTCCTTTCATTTTTTCAGGGAATCTGCCTTTGTTTTGTTAATTACTACTCTTGGGCTGGAATTACCGTTATTACCTTTACAAGGTATGTAGGCCAAGCAGATCCAACTTCAGATTCATTCTTTTCTTGTATAGGTATATAATATTTTCTTGTATATTTTCTTGTATAGGTATATAACATTTTTCTCAATCAAAATCTCTACAATCTCTAGATATGGCATGCTGGTTAGTATGTTGCCTAAAATGGACCAGTGACAGCAATATGCACTACATGTACATGTAATCATGCTACAAAAAAATGCTTGGTCAACCTTTGCACGTGTTCCCACGCTTTATATATCCCGGTTGGCAATCGCAGGAATAGTCCACTTGACCAAGGGGGTGGATTTGATGATGGCATATTCCATTACCACAGGGGTTTGGAATGCAGGCATCCACTGGCAAAATGTGTGTGGTTTCATCAGGGCCTTCAAGTTCATGCAAGTCATTAGGAATTTCTGCACTCGTGGAAATATATAAATATGGAATGCTTTGTACTGTGAAAAGTCTCTCTATGGACCAGCAAAAATTGCGACATAATTTATTCGCATAAAATAATGAAAAACAAAATTCAGTTCTTATTTGCTGCTGCTGAACTGAATTACTACCGTGAAAAGAAAACAAAAACTGTTTTTGCAGATATGAGGCAATTTTCATTGTTGCAGATCTTGATTTCAGATCTTGTGCACTCCCTAACATAAATACCAAGTGTGATTATACATCTCCCCTTTTTTTTACCTCTGCGATGTATTTGTTTAAATTCCTCCTGGGCCTACTTGGCTTTAGAAGTCTCTACTCTGTTTTTCTTGTCACAGAGTGCTTTTTAGTGCCCCAGACACCTGTTTACAAGATTCACTGCTACTTCAGAGAAATCGTGGGCTAATTAAACAAATGTTTTTTGCATAAATTAAAACCATGTCCAGGAACTGAGAGTGCAGTTATTGCAAATTTACACCATAGGCCAATTTTGTAGAGACACTAAGCATAGATGTGTGTGGAACATGTGGAAAAGACACCATTTTAATCAAAAGCAGACGTGACCAGACGCAAGTGATGGGCAACGACAAAGGGATGCTTTTGTTGTAGTTGATGTGAATAGCTTGTGACTTGAATTCAGATCAGAGGTCCTGTTGGTCTTATGACGGTTTTGGTTTTAATGTAACACTGCAGTGAGTGAGTCAGCCAGCCAAGATGCCACGTGACATACACATGGTTTTACCTTACTGGTTTAAGCAATTTTGCCATAGGCAGGTTAACCAAATTTGGCCCATGGCAACTTTACAGCAATCCTAACTACTAACCTTGGCAAGTTCCGTTCACAAACACCCATCCATCGGGGCAACTACAGGAGTAGCTTCTCTTGTCATTGCTGACAGCGCAGCTCCCTAAACGGCATGGATTGGAGGCTACATGTGTGTCATTCGACACCTCACATGGGTTTCCTGAAACAATCACACCCATTCAACATAGAAATATCAACACTTTGATAGGTTGAAAGAATTCTCATTTTTATAGTCCTGTTCGTAATATACTACCTTACGTACCAGTATCGTTCACTGGTTGCTACAAGCACTGTTTTGAAATGTTAATGTTGTGACTGGACTTTGCCTAGCTATGGCCAATTAATGTTTTTTTCCATTAAAAGAACAACTTCCTGAGATGTGTAAACCATACAGAAAAGCATGGCTGATGTGGAATGTGACATTGAAAACCTCCTCCGTTCAACAATGCTAATTAATGACGGACCTGATCAGTTACACCTGTAGCTACTAATTGGATCAGACTTTAAACTTGCCACCTTGAGCTTCATACTGCTGATGTTTGAGGCTCGGTTTTGGACAGTCTGTTGAAAACACCTCATAAAAATAGACCTGCAACATAATGGCATCATGCTTTGTTTACATGTGCACTTTCTTATGACAGCGAGGTGTGGCACGATCCATCAGAAATCCCATAGGAATGTACACATGTATGTAAACAAGTGTGATGTTGTTATGTTTTAGGTCTGTTTGAGGCGCGGTGTCTAGTGGGGGAGGGGAGTTGACCCCAGGTGAAAAGGTTGCAAGATTTTGTTTTATAAATTGAAAATGCAAATACTTTACAAATGGTAGTTGTACGTTCCTTGGGGGAGGGAGGGTTTATTTGATGGCTTTTCAGTTTGACAGAAACAAATTTAAATCCCCTTCCCTGCCTCAAATGCTGATGTTTTGCTGAAGTGGGGAAAAAAAAGAAGGCGTGGCAAGGATAATTAAAATGTCACTTACTGACACAGATTGAGTCTTCCCTCATGTAGCCTGGTTTGCAGTGACAGCTAAATCTGTGTCCACTTGGCTCGCAAACTTCTATTGAACTGCAGGGCCCACTAAGACAGGGATTTTCTAGGTTAAAAATGATGAAATATATTACAGATTAATCTACGGTAACCTAACTCTCTGAGACACAGGCTGTCGTCTAGACCTGCCCCTCACCCCTGAGTGACTAAAATATGGTCCAAGTTCAACAAAGGTGAATTTACTGTCTTCATTCTGTTAATAAATCACCAGCTTACCAATTATGTTCAAAACAGCTGACAGGGTGACACTGCAAGGCTTCGAAATTCCATTGCTTCCAAAACAGGTATTTTGAGTTGGCCAGGCGGCGACCTATCAGAAGAAAGTGTTTACGGCCATAAATCTTGCCAGTTTAATACTGCTAGCCTTTTCTTGGAAGTTTACCAAGATAGCTGAATTACTTGCGAAATGTCTTCAATTTGTCAAACGTGTATCCGTGCAAAAATAAAAAGGCTTTATGCTTTGCTCTGTGTCATCCATAGATCTCCATGGATGCTTAGGCCATCCTGGTTGATGGCTGACAACTAAAGAAAGACCTCCAAAAAACCACTGCAAGTGCATTTCCACAATTCAATTAATGATGCATGTGCTTTCTGGATCCCATATGTCAAATTGGACTCTGTCCAGGGGCAAAACAAAACCCCTTTTTTTGGGGGGGGGCTAAAGCAAATCACTAATTTTAGTTTTTGCTATGTTGATAACCACTGGGGACATCACACTGACCACCGAGGACAAGCAAACATTGTGTCTGCCGTCTGCATTCTGTCTTCTGTGGAAACGTGAAATGTTCATTGGACACATGGTGGCTTTCAAGTGTCATCTCTGCCTCTCAACGTGTTCTCATTGATGAACACATCCTGCATGTATACCGTACCACAACCACTCGCTGGCCAACACTGACACCCTTCAGGTCAACCTTGATGTAGGTGATGTTCCTTCCATAGGCAAAGGTCTCAAAGTGGGACACATTAGCCTGCAAGGAAGGAGAAACCTTGATTTATACAACCCTACACAGACTGCTGCATTCGTCTCCTCAGTCACAATACACTCTACAGATCAAGTAGCCACCTGTTGAGACCTTAAGGTGT